GGCCCCTTTCGATCCTCGTCTGAATAGAACCTGGTGTTCGTGTGTGAGGGTTGCGGACGATCGCACGATGAATACAGCAATAAGCACAGAGAGTTGAGTAGCTGAACTCTTAGGGTACTTGGATTCTTCCTTAGTGGTGTATAAGTGTATAAGTATAAGTGACCCGCGGTGCGCGGAGTCGCGGTTATATACGATATCAACTGGAAATGGTTTGGTAGGGAAGATGTGGAAATTTGGGGGTTCCTAGGTTGTTGGATTCGTCAGAGAAAATGGTATGGGGGACTGCTGTATCCAGTAGTAAGTAAGTAGACAGTGTTAAGGAAATCTTCTTGGCTGGGGTTGTGGGTGGAGAAAATCATACATTTCAAAAGAGAAGGTTATTGGAGGATTGTTAAGGTAGTGAGGGAATCAGCAGATGAGGCGGAACCGAATAACGTAAGTTAGAAAATGTAACAGACATAATTTTTTGTTATCCAGCGGTTCCTTTGATCCCAAGGATAAGGTCCGGCGAAGTTTACTTTGCGGATTAAGGAGTTTTAGTGCTGTATTTCCCAGGGTTATTTCGGAATTTTAGTCAGAATTTTTATTGGGGAAAGACAAAAAAAAAAGGTCTTACGATTCGGAATTGTTTGTTGTTTCCCGACAGAGGAGGCAAAGATATAGTGCATGACTCATGTCTGCACAGAACGTAACAATATATTTACAAAATATTATTACAAATATTTTTTTTTCGTTTACTATAAATATTGTATAGAATATTTAGTCTGTATTTTAATAATATTTTTAATAAAAATTTTGATACTTTTTCCTTCATATATATATATATATATATACAGGGTGTTCGGAAAGTACCGGGACGCCCGAATATCAGGAAAAATATAAGTTTTACAAAAAAATGCTTCAGACAAAAGTTGTGGCGTTTAAAAAGATGTATTTACTGATCACATCAGTTTGACCTTGGGTTGCGTAGCGAAGGTCAGGTCAAGGTCACATTAATTTTTTTAAATGGAACACCCCATTTTTCATTGCATATTCTTATAGCACATCTCGAGAGCTTTCCAAAACGCTATAATAAAATATTTTTTCGTTAAGAACTTTTCGAGTAATAACACTTGAAATTTCCAGCACTTTGACATAGAATACAAAATATCTCGTAAAATATTCATCTTACGGTTATCTTGTCTTAATGCTTTTTTGCGCAGAATAATGAGACAAATTAATTAGCTTAAAAAAATATATATATTTTTTACATAAATATATAAAAATCTTTTTGTGCTTTTTTTTAAGCCATT